TTATCTACACATCCAGAACCAGAATGCACAGGCTGATTTTCTGAAGGCGCGGTGATGTAGCAGACATCAGCGACGGAATATATGTCTGACGTCGCTTGGGTTTCTAGTTCGGAAACTGCTTTCATACCGGCGATAGAGCATCTTCTTGCCGCTGTAAGGCGTTGATGAGCTGGATTAAACTTTCGGCGTTGTTTTCGTCGACGACCAGCAAGGACCAGTGCAGCAACAATAGATCCGGCTCGTATTTTAAAATCAAACGCCGAAATTGGCCTAGATCTCCGAGATCGATTTGCAAAATAATTCAAACTCCCCCAATTATTTTGGCTTATATAATTTCCCGCCTGCGCTTGACTTTTTAGATTTTTAATCCTGGCCGCAGATCGGGGAGCGGCGCTTGCCTTTTTAGATTTTTAATCCTGACCGCAGATCTGGGCACGGAGCGGAAGCCCTAGATGACAACACGCCGCGAATTGCGGAAGGGAGCACCAATCGGGGGACGACACGTGGCGCGGGGGGAGCGTCCCAGGTAATATTAGTGGGACGCTCCAGGGCACGTATATAACTCACTCCCTAACTCTCTTCCACCAGTAAAGTTTTTCAGAGAGTGACTTGCGTCATCCGAGAGAGTATGTGACGTCATCGAGAGTGAGTTATGGCATCAATGCGACGTCGTTTTAGAGTCCAAAACAAGAACATCTTCCTCACATATGCCCGATGTTCTATACCTAAAGAGAGACTGTTAGAGAAAATTAGAGAGCTGTTCACAACCAGGCCACCAAATTATGTGAGAGTCTCACATGAATTACACTAGGATGGGCAACCACACCTCCATGCCCTTGTGCAATTCCCATACCGTTTTCAGACGCAGAATGAACGGTTATTTGACGTTACACACGATCGAACCAATCACCATTTCCATCCAAATGTACAGGGGGCCTACAACCAACAGAATGTGCTGGAATACATCTCCAAGCACGGGGATTACACGGAATGGGGTGAATTTCGTGAGAGGAGCCGCTGCGCTAACCAGAATAACAAGGACAATATATATCAGGATGCACTTGAAGCCGGCACCAAGGACGAAGCACTAGCAGTGGTACGAAATGGCGACCCAAAATGTTTCTGGTTAAATTATGACAAATTGTCATCCAATTATGACCGGATTTCATTTAATCCACCATTGCCGTATGTTCATCCATTTACAGACACAGTATGGGTCGTTCCAGCAGCAATACAGCAATGGGTTGCAGACAATATAAGAGACGAAGCCCAAAGACCGCATAGGCCAAAGAGCATTATAATTGAAGGCCCATCTAGAATTGGGAAAACATGTTGGGCCCGGTCTTTGGGACCACATAATTATTATTCTGGCCACATCGACCTGAGGGACCACAAGAACGACGCTTTCTACAACATAATCGATGATGTGGCCCCATAATTTTTGAAACATTGGCGCGAGTTTATTGGAGCGCAACGGGATTTTTTTTTCAAATTGTAAATATGCTTGCCCAAAGAAAATAACGGGCGGGATTCCAAGGAATAGAGAAACGAAGATGAAGGAGATTACGAAGGGGATTTCGATAGCGATGAGAGCTCTGGTGTCTTTGGGATCTAATGTGGAGGATGTTGGATAATGTTTGAAGTTTGATAAACAATGTTTGATGACGTTGCTGATGTTGATGATGTTGAATAATGTTTGATGTTTGGTGTTGTTTTGATGATGATGTTTGATGTTGTTTGATGATGATGTTGTGATGTTTGATGTTGTTTTGATGATGATGTTGTGATGTAAAAAAAGGACTAAATGGTTTATAAAAAAATACTCAGGACTAGATGGAGTAACATTTTTCAATATGGGACCTATGAGTAATTTCTCCTAATAACTATAATAATATATAATAATAATAATAGTTAATAACTATAATAATAACTATTATTATTATATATTAAATAATAATTATTATATAACATATAATATATTTATAAGATAATATATCCTTATATATATTAATAAAAAAAATAAAAACATGTATGTAAAATAAAATAAAAAAATTAATTAGAACACATTGTTTAAAAAATATAATAAATAAATTAAATAATTAATGTATATTAAAATAAAAATATTTATAAAATATATATATTGTCACGACCCGAACCCGCCCCCATGGGTTAAGGACGTAACCGGCCAGTAATCCTAAGATTACCTACGGCCTCAAACCAAAACAGACTTAACACATCAGAGTAAAGGGGGCCAAAAGGGAAGTCAAATTTTTAAAACTTTGTCCATAGAGCTGTGCTTACATGGCACATCAAAACAAACCATACACATGTACGTTAATAACTCACAACAGAAACATAGTGACATAGGTTCTGTACAGACAGGATCATCCAAAACTAAGTCAACCCATAAAAACTATAAGCAGACATATGCAAAACTTCGCCATCCTGACAAAATGTAAATACATAACAAAAAGGCGAAGACGGGTCTCATGCGTGAGACACAAGGGATGACTCTCTCAAAACCTTAGTTGTTCCAAGCAGACTTCACTGGGGCTGGGTTTGTGCTTCTCTTGGCTCACCTACAAGACACATGATTGAGCGTGAGCGATAGCCCAGTGAATAATATCAAATATGACAGTTACATAACGATGTGTAGAACAACATGCTCCAAACGGCCTTGGGCCCAATACATACTTCTATCTAACAAATATATATATAACTATACGAAAATCAAATCAAGTAACTGTAGTTCCAAACATTCTGGCCTTTGGCCCATTCGGATTTCCATTCATGGCAAAAACAATATGTAGATCAACATGCTCCAAACGGCCTTGGGCCCAATTCATACTTCTGTTTAACAGCAAAATATATATAACTATACGAAATGCAAGTCAAGTAGCTGTAGTTCCAAACATTCTGGCCTTTGGCCCTTCATTTCTGTCAAAATGGCCTTCGGCCCATTCATTCATGTCAAAACGGCCTTTGGCCCACTCGTTCATGTCAAAACGGCCTTCGGCCCACTCATTCGTGTCAAAACGGCCTATGGCCCATTCATTCATGTCGAAACGGCCTTTGTCCCACTCACATATGTCATGACGACCTTTGGTCCATTCATTTCTATCAAAACGACCTTTGGTCCATTCATATATGTCAGAACGACCTTCGGTCCATTTATTCATTCATGTCAGACCTTTGTCCACAATCCCAATTAGCAACTTATAAAGCTCATAAGGGAATAGACACTTGGACATTCACAATCATTCAAATATCGATATTACTCACAGTGATCGGCTTGTGGATTTGCCCTGGAGCTTGACCCTACATGTTTCATGAACACAAAAGGGTCATTAACAGTTCAATCCGTTCTTTAATTCACATATTCCTCTTTAGGCTTTATTATTATCTCATTAACTCATTTACAATGCTTAACATATGCCTAAGAGTGCTTGCAAGTGAAAGAGAACGGAAAATAGAACACAAAATGCAAAAACAGGATTTCAGAAAATAGGGTCCCCGCTCGAGCGTGGACTTCCCCGCTCGAGCGGACCCTTAGGTCTGCGAAAGTACTGGTTGCCTTCAATTCCAGCTCGAGCGTGAACTCGGCCGCTCGAGCGGACTGCCTGTCTACATAGCTCCCCGCTCGAGCATCAACTTCTCCGCTCGAGCGGGAACCATGTCTGCAGAAAATGCTGGGAGCTCGATTTCTCCGCTCGAGCGTCACTTCACCCGCTCGAGCGGACATCGAAAATCTGGGTTTTTCAGATTGAGTTCTTGAGCTTCATCTCGACATTCAAAGGCTCTAAATGCATGATTTCGGTCCAAACTTCACATAATCATGTACTAACATGGTACAAACATAGAATTACAACATATTGAAGCTCAATTTCATAATTTATCTACATGCATGGCTCATTTTCCACCAACTCATTACCAATGTAACCATTTCATGCATTCAAAGCTTCTACTTCCATGGATCGTACATGCATGTGACATATAACCTTCATTCTCGTCTCATATGATGAAAGATGGTCAAATACATGGATTTCAACCAAAATTGCAACATGAGTCATGTAATTCAAGCTCAAATATGCAAATTCAAAACAATACATACATGCATGCATATATAGTCTTCAAATTCATCAAAACCAACTCCTTTCATGTTCTAGATCACAAATTAATCTTCAATTCCCGAAATCACAACTCAAATTCATGAGTTAGGGGTTGGTTACTCACCTAGGAGCTTTAATCTTCCAAATTCTAGTCAATTCTTGAGTTAAATCTTCAAATTCCCAAGCTAGAGCCAAAAATTGCTCAAGTCTCTTCCTTTCTCTCTCTATAGCCGGCCTCTCTCTCACTCTCAATTGTCTAACTCAGATTTTGAGTTTTAAGAGAGCTAAAGAAGAGTGCAATGCAAATATACAACAAGCCCCACTAACAATTATTTTAATATAAAATAATGGGGTATTTAATTTATCAATTTAATCAGTTTAAATTGACCAGAATCAATTTTCAATTAAATTTCACCGTAGGCTCTAAAAATTATGCCAATCACAATGGCGTAATCAATTTAGGGTTCTGTGGCCGATAAGGCCCTCAATTTAATTTCCGAAGCAGTAAAATCAAACAGATATTCCTACGGTGAACAGATAGAAATTCAAAACCACATATTTTCACATAATGGCATACAAAACCATGCTAAACACATGACCATAACAACTTAAGGACCAATTAGCATAATACAGAACAGGGATGTCACAAATATAACTCGTCTCCATAGATTTTTATTTTTTATTTATATAATATAACTCATCTTCATATAATAAATATATATTTTTTTAAAAAAAAATTATTTAACGTATCCCTATACTCGTATCCAAATTTGGATAGATATCCACGTATCCTTAACTTTTAATTTTGAAGTGTCCGACCCCTAGATATGCACCCGCACCCAATACCCGTACTCGAGTCCGTGTAACCTAGGTTGGAATTGAACCACTCAATTAGTTCCCTCTTAACAGAAGAATTCTAAGGTTGGAAACCTCTCCAATGGAATCAGGAATGCTACCACTGAAGCTGTTTTCTCTTATATCAAATGTCAAAAGATTTGATGAATTAAAGAGAGCTCTTGGAATTAATCCTGTGAATTTGTTCCCTTGCAAATGCACAAGCTCTACAGATCCCAGTTTTGGGTTGAGCAAGAAGAAAGTATTGATCCCGAAAATGAGTGATAAGAGACGTCCATAAACATACTTGGAACCAGTGCACATGGGAACTGACCATTAAACGAATTATTTCACAAGATCAATGTTCCCAACGATGTCATGTTATCCATTGAACTTGTAATCTTACTTGACATATAGTTGTTGCTAATATCTAGAAAATTCAAGTTGGACAATTTGGAGAGCACATTTGTTAGAGGCCCTGTAAACTGATTGTCATTCAATTGCAAATGCCATATATGAGTCAAGTTGAAGATAACTGAAAAGATTTGGCCACGAAAATTGTTATTTGATAATTTTAAAATTCCTAATTATTTGCAATTTCTGATTAACTCGTTTTGTACCTACCCTGAAAAATTATTAATGGATAAATCCAGAACAACCAACTCACTCATCGTACCAAATGAGGATGGGATACCACCTTCAAAAGCATTCCTGGACAAGTTGATGTATGAAATATATGGAAACATCTACCCCATATTGGCTTGAATTGGCCCACTTAAGTGATTGTTCGAGACATCCATGCAATAAGTATTTACATAGTGGCATGAAGGCAAACAAAATTGACTGACAAAAGAGTTATTCTGCAAGTTTAAAACTTCTAGTCCCGTATCATTCACCAATAGCCAGTTTGTGAAAGAATCTGTCAAGTTGTTGTGGGAGAGATCAATGAGCCTTAATTTGTTTTGGTAAAGTAGAAATTTTGGAACATCGCCAGAGAGCTTGTTCAGATTATAGTTTGATAGAACAAGGACGTTCAATTGAAACATGGGAAGCCAATTTGTATCTTCAGTCTCTACCTCAAATTTGTCATTGCCGCTTATCAATTCAACCACCTCAAGGATTGAATGGTTTGCAAATGACCGGAATTAGAATAAACCCTCGAAACGAATGTGACTAAGATCAATTTACTCTAGGGAGTTGAGACTTCCAAAAAGAGATGGAGAAATGTTTCCTGTGAATTTGTTTAGAGAAATATCAAAAAACTTGAGAGATCTCAAATTGCTTAGGCATGGAGGAAGGATCCCTTCAAAGAGGTTGTGGTTGAGATCTAACTCCTCAAGTTTCTTCAGTTTGCACAAACCTACAAAATAACAAGCTTATCAAACACATTGTTTATAGTACTTTTTTGTTGGCCTTTGAATTTCTATTTTGGTGACCTTTTAGTTTATAATAGATAACCTTAACAAATAGAATTTTTACCTTGAATTGGTAAAGAACCATTAAGGTTATTTTGAGCCACAAATAGAGCTTTTAGAGAAGATAATGCTCCTATGGATGGAGTAGGGGTGGACATCAGCCCATTGGCCCGCCCGGTTTAGTCCTATTTTTCTAGGACTTGGGAAAATTGTTTTAGCCCATAGGGTAGGGCTGAGCTAACAATTTTAGCTCGGAATATTAATGGGCTGAGTTTGAGATTTATACTTCCAACTAGGGCTGTGCAAAATATCGTCCAATCCGCTAAAACCGCACTGATCCGCATCAATCCACACCGCTCTGACCGCTAACCACGGTTCAAACTTTAAAATTTATAATCCGCTTTCCAAACTGCTCTACTCCACTATAGTTAATACATATATATTTTTTAACCTCTAATGAAATATCAATGTAAAAATGAGAGAGATATTTAAGATATTGAATTTATTACAAATTAGTAGGTATATATATGAAATATATTATGTAAAATTACTGTGTTATATATATAAAAAATATTATACAAATTAGTGTTATATATTATTCAAATGTATGATAATTAGTTGGAATATTCTTCAATCTGCTAATCCGTCCAAAATTGCCCAAATTGCAATTTGTCAAGTTGCTAATCCGCCAATCTGCTAATCCGCCATTCGGTTTATAATTTTACTCTCAAACCGCCTGAATCACACCGCGCACACCTCTACTTCCAACCCAGCCTGGCTCGCTATTAAATTAAGTAATTAATTAATTAATTATTTATAATACATTAAAATATATATATATATATTTTATGTTGAGATTTAAACTTTATCTTTGTTGATTTTATTGAAACTCACATTTGTTGTGATGTGTGATTGAGTTTATTTAAGAAATTCATCAATTTATACAGAAAATCTTTCAATTTATAATGATGTCAATATATTTTTTTAAGAAATATAATGTATGATTGAATTTAATTATGGAATGTTTTAATTTTTTTTAACATATAGTCCGATGGGTGAGTTTGGGATTTATAATTATTTTTTTGACTGGGCTTGGACAGATTTAGAGGCCCGATATTAGGGCCGGGCCGGATTTGGGCAGAAATAAAGTCTCTTATTATGTAGTGTTGGCCCGGCCCAAACCCGACCTTGCCTGATGTTTGTCCAACCCTAGGATGGAGGAACACTTGCAAAGAAATTATTCTCACACAAATTTAAGATCTCCAGATGGTGGAAAGATGTCAAACCTACCAAAACATATGATAAAGGTAAAATAGAACCAAGAGAACTTAATACAATCAAGATTGCAGGGTGATCCCAAGGCAATTTAAATAACAAATTTCTTGCCTTCCATTGGTAGCCTTCCATTGAGCTGATTCTGTCTAAGGAGGAGGACCTCTAGATTACTAAGATTATAAGTCAATTCTGTAACCCAAGTGAAGAGACTTGTTAATTAGATTGAGATGAAGAAAATAGAGAACGATGATTCCAAAAAGATACAATTGACAAAAAAAAAAAAAAAAAACAACACTTTTAGTTTGCACATTTCGCTAGTTGTAACACTTCATTTTTTCAACTATTTTAAGTCTTCTTAACACTCAAATGGAGCTAAAAAAAATTAAATTAAGTAGCATGGATTTCAGAAATCGAAAATACACATACCTTGATTAGAAAGTGGTCCTTCCATTCTATTATTCTCTGAGGATAGAAACTTAAGGGATGGGATTCAAAATCCTGAAGGCATCCTTGTTAAAATTATATGTCTCATCTCGGTCAACTCAGATAGTAGTTTAGAATTTGAGCGTATGATCATGATCAAATGTCATTAAAAGTCAACCCCAAAGAACCATATGTGAAAATGACCAACTTATTGCTTTTACAGGTAATTAGGTACTTCTTAAAAAGATTTTCACTCTACTCTGATTCAAATTGTAGATGATATATAGTGATATGGAATGCGCGTGCACACACACACACACACACACACACACAAACACACCTTATTTCACCAAAAACAGTAATTAGGTAAACCACAAACCACTAGCTATATATGCCATTTAATTGAAGAATCAATACACTTTCATTTGTTCCTACTCACGGGGAATAAAGCTTTTTTTTAATTTATTTATTTATTTTTTATTTTTTTGATAACTTGGTATCTAGCCTATTGGAACAACTAATCTAGGGAACCAATCTCACCGTTTACTTGTGATGGTCCCAATTAAAGCTAGGGTTTTGCCCTGTATGGACTAGCCCCAAGAAATTGTTTGCACCTAGGAGATATTGAACTTGAGACTTTGGAGGAAGCACATCCCTAGACCCCGAGCCTTGACAACCAGGCCAACCTCTTGAGGTTATGGGGAATAAAGTTTAACTTTAGAACTCTTATCCAAAGGGAATGAGCATCCTTACTTGCTATGTATAAAACCAGTCAATGTAGTCAACTTGACAATCTCGAAGTTTCTACTTGGCCAACTTTATACTGGCTAATTCAGTGCCAATTCATTTTTAGAGCTTTCTCTCAACCAAGAATTGTTTCTGTTAAGTTGACTGAAAATAGTGAGCTTTATGTGTGAAAAAAGAAAGGGTTCATAGTTTCATTGGGGGGTTCTTTTGTGTCCACCAAGAGCATAGTTCAGATCATAATTATTAATCCAATATGGGCCAAATATCAGTGATTGGAATGCAATTGGATGGAGAAGATAGTCCATTATTGTTAGTGCATCAAAAACTATAGAGGTTATATGGTTTTCCTGCTCTACTTGTTGAAAACTTAAGCAAGCATGTAATTTCATGAAGGCTAGGTTTTACCTTGGATGCCATTAAGTTGATTTTCACTTAGGTCCAACCTTTCCAGGTTCCCAAAATAAGCTAATTCTGCACAAAGAAACAACAAAGTGATGATTTTACAACATAGTAATAGAAAGATTATTAAGAATAATTATGCAATTGTAATTATGAATAACAATTCTCAACTCCCTGTACAAATAAGATACAATCATGAATTTTCACAGACACGGTTGAAGTTACCATGAGCTGGAAATAATCCCCCGATTTTATTTGCATGAAGATTAAGCATCTTAAGGAATCTAAGCGCACTCAAAGATGGCAGAATGCTATCAAATTTGTTCCATTCAAGATTTAGAGTCTCCAATTTTCTCGAAGCCAACAGCTTCTCAAAACCAGCATGAAAATTTTGGAAAAAATGAGATGAATCACCTATCCCAAAATCTCTACCCATCCCCGCCTCACAAGTAGTGTTCGGGACAGAATCTCACCCCTTCTCTAACACAAGACTTGTGTAGAAAATTTTCATGTTTAATATTTTCAGTATTCTCCATTAATTTTTATTTTTTTTCTTCCGTTAAGCCAACTACAGAAAGTAGTACTTTTAGAAAAGTAAAATATAAACATTCATGGAGTTATATTAGCTGATTTGCATACCTTTATTGTCAGTCCTAGCACTGAATAAATTGAAAGACAAATTGAGGCTTCGGAGCTCTTGGGCTTCGGAGCTCTTTAAAAGGAAGGAAGAGGGGGGCATTTATGAGCCAAATATTGTTGTGATCTATATATGGTGCATCTTTGATATTATGCAGAGAGAGCTCTGAAACGTGCCCATGGTGCGATCATACGTGACTCTCTCCCAATCACAACACTCACTGTGGTAGGGAGAAGATGGTCTGCATCAGCACCGTTGGATTTGAGGAACTCCTTGAATTCCAATAGACCCCTCCTTTCCCCTTCCAAGCAACCAGCACTGTGTCCATTCACCTGAGCCATAACAATCACTACCCACATAGCAAACTTTCCTAGAAAAAAGGCCACCCCATTCTGTGAATAGGGGTGTCTGTAGTTCTATTTAATGAAAAAAATTCAATTAACAGTGATATGATACCATATCATCATAATTCAATAATCAATTACCATGAGTAGTGAACCCACTATACAAATACGGTAGTTATTAGATTGTATTGGATGGTAGTTATATTTGAATAATGGTCCTCCATAAACTTCATAATGTCACCTTTCAAGAATTTCCACCCTTTCTGAAAAAATAACATATTAAACCCATCTGGGCCTGGGGCTTTGTTTCCGTCACACTCTTTTATTGCAGACCATACTTCTTCCTCTGTAAATTCTTTCTCCAGAATATTGCCTATTTGGTTAGCATCAATCTTCTTAAAAACACCTCCAATACTTGGCCTACTCCTCCAATGTTCAGAAAACAGATTTTGGAAGTGAGAGCAAGCTGCTTGTTTGACCTCTGAAGGTTCATCCACTTCAACCCCATTAACCACAACAGAGGCAATCAGGTTTCTGTTGTGTTTCTTAGTGGCCATAATATGAAAGAATCGAGTATTTCTATCTCCTTTCAACGCCCAGTCCATCCTCGATTTTTGCACCCACATCCATTCCTTTCTCTTGCTAAGTTTCCAAATCAAACCCCTTATCTCCTTTCTTTGACCCTCTTCTACCTCAGTCAGCACCCTCAATTCAGATTGTAAATCCATAGAATGTAACTCATTTTCAGCTTCTTTCAACTTTGCCTCTACATCACCAAACACTTCCGCATTCCACTTTTTCAAAGCTACTTTTAAAGCCCTCAGCTTCTCCATAATTATAAAACTAGCCCAACCTTGTGCATAAGTTGAATCCCATACTTTATTTGCTTCAAGAAGGAACTTAGGGTGTAAAATCCAAGCATTGATAAACTTGAAAGGCTTTGGGCCCCAGTTCCTATCATCTTCCATCAGCAAAATGGGGCTATGATCAGAAAAGAGCCTTGGTAACCCCCATACCTTATATCTGTACCATTCTAGCCACTCAGGGTTAACTAAGAATCTGTCAATTCTGCTCCAACTTTGAGAATTACCCCAAGTATATTGCCTGCCTAACATTGGGATATCCACCAGTTCGAGATTGCTAATGAAAGTACCAAATTCCTCCATGCCTCTATCCCTCCTTATACACCCTTTTCTTTCACAGATATTTTTAACTTGATTGAAATCTCCCCCTAAACACCAAGGATCAGAGAAGACAGTTTTCAAATTGGATAGGATGCCCCATAACCTCCTCCTATTCATATCTTCATTAGGAGCGTATATATTACCAATTA